TGAGCAGTATCCGGTAATCGCCCAGTTATTGAGTCAATGTAGACTTTCACGATTACACATATGCTTGACTTAAATTCGAGGCAATCTGCCATAATCTGGAGCAATGTCTTCCACATAATAAGGACCCTGAACAAAGCAGCAAATGTACTGGAATGTCCAAAACAATAAAAAGAACAAAGTTTTTGTATAGATCTAGTCATAAAATAACACCTAATTAAAATTAAACACCCATCTGGACTTTAAAAGAGGTAGAGAAACCAATGTAATTAAAAGTCAGACATCATGTGCCATCATTGTTGATCTGTTAAACGAAATCGAACATTGATCTGCAGATTAATAATGTGCCATAGCCAGAACGTTTAAACTAGCAAAGTCATATTTACAGATTGGGCAAATTGATTTTAAGATAATACAAACTTTTGGAAATCGGCACCAATTTCATGTGCAAATAATCTATTAATTTAAACAGAATTTGCGCATTAGTTCATATTTGGATTCCTGCAGTAGACTGGTTAAAAACTTGATCTAATCCTATGGCAGTGAAAGTCTATCTCTTTCTCAATTAATACAACTTGGCAGCCCAAATAACCTGATTTAAAAGTTTTTGGGCCTAACTTTAAAAGTGGCTACTATAACAGTGTTTTTTTGAGTTAGACCAAAAGAACCAGTATACCCCCAACATTTAACTTTCCCCTCTTCGCCCACAATAAGGTTCCTTAGAGGACACTTGGCAAGACCAGACTGGGGCCATATCAACAGACCCACCGTTGGCTCCAAGCATTACAGTGACGTTTTCCGACCAAGCCGAACAGCTCACAGCCAGCCCAGAGGATGCGCCCGGCAGCTGGCCCAGCCGTGAGAGCTCCGCCTATGCTGGAGGTGATGAAAGAGACACGGACGGATCTGACAGGAAACAAAAGAAAAAGAAGAAAAGGAGACAGAAAGATGAAGGATCCTATGAAAACTTTGAGAGCAGGGACCAATCAGAGATGCAGGGAGCAGGAGAGAACACTCCTCCGACGGAAGAGTTTTATCATAGGATCGGTCCAAGAAGGGACAGAGGAGAAGGTGGCTGGGAAGAGCATATTGGGAAGAGCGGAGGCCGCGGGAAGAAAAGTAAAAACAGGAGGAAGCTTCCAGAGGAGTGGGCGGTGACCGCAGAACCCTTTGTTCCCTCTTCAGCGATTGCCTCGGAAACAAAATCGGACATAATGATGGATCTTGGGAGCCCAAATAATGAGCTGTTGGAGACGTCTTTAGCAGACACGGATGGTGGCAAACACGCCATGAAGAAAGAAGTTTACCCAGAAGAAGGCTCAACCCCTCTGTCCCAGGATGTGTTTTCTCCAACGGCAGCAGTCATCAGTCCACTCGCTCTGAACAGTGAGCTGAATGCTACAGCAGCTCCGTTCACAATGCCGTCGCCCACCAATAAAACAACTCTTGGAAACTTCGCAGGGGCTGCTTCCTCTGGTGATCCAGTTGACATCCTATTGGATACTGAAAATGCCATTTTGGGCCAAAGCAATCAAACCTTTTATAATCCTTTCTCCTCAGAGAATACAGAAGCAGTCGGTAACATGGTTGACAGTGGAATGTTCGACACCTCAAGTTCCATTCACGAATCTTCTATGACGGGTGTGTCAGAGGGAGACACCTCTGCTTTTAGTTCTGCTTCACAATCAAGCCAAGCCCTTTCCCCTAAAGTGCTGGCTTCTGCCCCACCTCTGTCCCCCTCTGATGCTTCATGGCTTCTGAATAACTCTCAGACGAGCAACAGCAGCGATCTATTTGACTTCAGTGAAACCAGCGCTGCTGGCCATCCTTTACTCCTGGGCCTGTCCTTTAACACCCCGAGCCCAGCACCTCTCCGCTCACCTAAAACCACTGCGCAAGAGTTCCAGCCCAAGCATAAAGATGGAAAGTCAACTCAGAATCAGTCCCGAAAGTCACCCTCATCATCTCCCCCCTCATCGTTGAGGAGTCCTACCTCCCCAGAGGCAAAGCCCTCCCCGCAGGCTTCCCCCGTTACTTCACCCTCATCTCCTGGTTCGGTCACTGCTGTCGGAGTTCCAGGATCTGGTCTCAATCCTGCAGCAAAGCCTTTCTTTCCTAGCTTTGCAGATCCAATGGAAGACACAGCTGTGGTCCCTCCAGTTGTCCCCATCGTGGAAGGTTGGTTGTAGTCAGCCTTAACCGCAGTAGAAGTGCTGAAGGCTCCTTAAAGATAGAACCCAGTTGTTGCCCTGCATGATGCTTCCAACCAGCTTCAGTAGTTCCAGTATCGGGCTGTATTGATTGCTTGAGTGTCTTCTACTAATCAGGGGGATTATCCTGAGAATTGCACCCATCTATGCCATTTCTTGTATGACTACAACTAAAAATCTGTAGCATGTGTTGGACTTGTTTTGGGGTGACTAACTCAACTGTCGACTATTTGAGACTCTGGATTGCCTTGATGCTAACCTGTATTTTCGAAGATCAACTGCAAGGATTCTCCCATAATTAACAACTTTCTTGTTGATGGGTATGCAGCCTCTAACCAATCACAGTTTCTCTGTCCTTAGACACACTGGTAGATAATAAAAAATAACTACACATCTTCTCTTTTTGGGGAGTTCTATCTTCGGCAGAGGTTTGTGCTAACACAATAATGATGTTCCCCCCTAACTTTGCACCCAGCAGTTTTAATGTTATCTCTCTTCTCTGGTCATTTAATTCCAATCTTTTCCCTGCTGGTCCTATGTGTTTGTTTTCATATTTACTTAAACTTAAAAGAACTTTAAAAACTGATGTCTTTTTAGAATATACAGTCATTGAAGGAAGAATTCTTATTGCCTTTCTTGTTTGTTTTTTTTCCATGTCATGACTCTTGACCTGGCCGTGTCTCTACCATAGGTGAGTCCTATTTGACTTATTTTTTGTCTCTGGTGGCTTTTGTTCCTTTATTTCTCTTTAAAGGTGTTCACTAGAAAACACTGCTCCTTTATTTTGTTATGGTATACACTCACATTGGTCTTAAAGGTCCGGAACCACAGTGGCTCAGGAGGTAGGTAGGACACAGTGTTGTTGTGTCCTTGGGCAAGACACTTCACCTGCATTGTCTACTGATGGTGGTCAGAGGGCCCGGTGGCACCAGTGTACGGCAACCCCGCTTCTGTCAGTGAGCCCCAGGGCAGCTGTGGCTACAATGTAGCTTGCCACTATCAGTGTGTGCGTGAATGGGTGAATGAATGTAGTGTAAAGCGCTTTGGTCAAGTCTCCTAACTTGGATAAAGGAGCTTTATAAGTACATGCCATTTAGGTAGGAGTTCATCCAGTAACTGGTGGGTTGCTGGTTTAGGTCCAGCTTCATCTGTTATCTAAGACACTTGACCCGTCTCGTTGGTGGTGAGGCTCTTGGACCTGATTAAGCACAATACAAGTACTGCATTTACCATAAAAGTTCAACACTAAGCTAAATTTTATTTTTATACACATTTTGGTTCTTCCCAAAGATTTACCAAAATCTCTAATATTTCTGTAAATTTTAAAGATATTCATAATTTGTGAACATTTTCACAATGTTACAAGCCAAGAGGTCTCCAAGGTAAAGTGGGTAAAGTCTTTGACTTTAATGTGGGGTACCTGGTTTTTATTCTTTATGTCACAAAAGGCGTCTTTCGTAAAAACTCAAACCGGTTATAAATATTGAAGTGGTTGGACACAGATAATTATGTTAGAAACCCAACCATTCCATCCATTTTCGCACTTATCCCAGTTGGGGTCGCGAGGGGTGCTGGTGCCTATATCCAGCTGTCTACGGGCAAGAGGCGGGGTCCACCCTGGACAGGTCACCAGTCCATCATAGGTCAACACAGAGACAAACAGGATTAGCCACCATTCACACAAACACTCAAGCCTAAAGAGAAGCCAATTAACCTAACAGTCATGTTTTTGGACTGTGGGAGGAAGCTGGAGTACCTGGAGAGAACCCACGCATGCTGGGAGAGAACATGCAAACTCCATGCAGAAAGACCCCGGGCCGGGAGTCGAACCAGTAGACCTTTTTATTGCTCTACCTTCTTGTACCACTGTGCCACAGCCTATTTTTTTTGGCCTCGGATGGGGTTTCTACCAGGACCCCCCTGGTTTTAGCTCAGCCCATCCTCCATCTAGTCCCATCTGAAGACAACCCGATCACTCTCAACACAAACGGCACAATAATCAGGGCAGAAATCAGTGCAGGTATCAGTGCAGTGAGCCCCCCTTAACTTTGTGGTTGAACTAAATTGCCAGGGCTTTTTTTGGTTTTCAGATAAACTGTTAGTTTTCCTCGTTCAGATTGCCTACTAAACAGAGCTCCCTGAGATGTGTAGGTCTTTTTTCTGCAGGTCTAAACAGCTTTCTCTCTTTCCTGTGCTGTCTTCCTTTGTCTCACATGATACTGTTTATTCACAAATAAACAACAAACAAACATAAAACACTGAGCTCCAGTAACCAGAATGTGGATAGCATTTGGTACAGACTACTACTACTACTTTAGTTAGGCATTTTTCACCTTTTTTATTGGTCTATAACATAAAATCCCCAAATAATACTTTCTGGTTTTTGTGTGTGACTAAGTGCCAAAACACAGAACGCCAAATATTTAAAAGTGGACACTGTGTGTCATTCGGAGTGATTGTTCTGGTGATGATGTCTCTATTGTCTTGTCTGGGTTGGTGTCTACCTGTGTGGGTTTTTCCTTTCCAACAGCAGATGAGGTGTTTGGTATGTTATGTTTATGGGGGTGCTGAGCTCCAGGGGAGTCATTTCCTCCTCCTCAATTTCAACACTTCCTGTCTGCTTCCCTTTGGTGGCTTCATGAGGGCTGAACCAGCCGCACCACCCTGAGAGTAGGATCCTCTACCTGACTATTAATTTACCTAAATCAATGTTTTCATAACCTTACCTTAGCATTTTTCCTCTGGATGTTACTGGTTCCGCCTGATTGTCTCAATCAAACATTTGTCATTTGTATGATTTTCTCTTTTAAAGTGTTTGTTCACATTTGATTTATACAAACTGTGTGAGAATTAAATATTGGTTCACTTGAGAAAAGGGACATGGTGCAGCTGGCTGAGCTTTCTGTTTAATGAGAGGTTGTGTCAGGGTCTAAGTGTGCCTCTGTGTCAGAAAAACTGGTATTTAAGCCCTGTAAGGAGGATAGGGTGTGTGGGGAACGATAAGGAAAGGGAATAAAGACATGCAGGGTGAGAGAGGAAGGGTTTTCAGATTAATCTGAGGAAAGAATAAGTGAGGAATGAGAGAATATGGGAAGTAAAGAAAGAAGAGAAAGAGAAAGCTTAGCAGTTTATAGCAAAAGTTATCAAAGCAAAAACATCACATGCATGTTTTTATTTGTTGATTTTGGCAGTTTTCTCAGCTATCTTACATTCTTAACCAGTAACCAAAGAACAAATCACTTTTACAACCACTTATTGCTGCTGGACTGAACATTAGCTCTACGGTACACAAACCATATGTTCTAAAACCACAAACTTAGATTTATATTTCCTTATTATGTTATCATTGCTTTAGATTCTCTTTGTAAGCATTAATTAACCCCAAAACTCCACTTTAAACAAATGAATATTAGCTAGGTCAAAAATAATCTAAAATAAGTACATTTCATTCTCACCATATCAAAATCTTTTTATTTTTCTATCAGAAACAGCTAAAAAAACAGGTGTTAGATTTCTATAAAAGCTGCATCAATAGCGTTGCCCCTGTTTTTTCTGCACAAACACACAGACGCCGACACGCACACTCTACACAACTCTACACTAAGGCTATTTGAGGACAAGCCCAGATCCTCAAAAGGCATAAATACGCTGTATCAGAGGTCCGTTTTCACCACATAGGGTTCTTTTCTGATGCTTCACAACAGGCTGTTAGACGGTAGCCTGGAAGGGCCACATTTACAGTACGGCACCACCGGGAGCTGTGGCCAGCTAATGTCTTTTGACGGCTTTGGGTGAAAATGTCACGTTTCTTTTCCTCATCGGCGTCGATTTGGGAGCCAGCAGCTAACTTCTGCAGCAGAGCGTGAGTCATTGTGGGATTTGTTTTTCTAAAGATTCCTGAACAACATGTTTCTGGAGTTACTCCTGAGATGGCTCCGGGGCAGCTGTGTGAGCCGTACTTGAGATGTGATAAAAATGGCTTTAAAAAGGCTCAGCAAAGGGGAACTTTTTCTAGCAGCTCAGATGAACAATATCATAACCTAATATTTCTAATAAGGCAGTATGGTGGTACACCTACCGACCCACCCTTCTCTACCCCCTAGAAAGAACTGCATTGAGATGATAGTCTTTTTTGAGCTTTTAAATGTCAGGAACAAATTTAACCATCTCCTGTGCTTTTATTTTCTCCCAGCCTAATTTCAGTTAATGATTTTCGCTACATGCCTCATTTCTTATGGTGCCTTCTCTCTGAATTGGACCTAATTAGCAAACGGGTGTTAGCATCAGGAAACAGACCACAGTCCAGAACAAGAGTGTGGCGCTTACTGTCCTTGTTGAAGGACTGTTTTACAGAGTTCAGGAGAACTGTAGGGATCTGTAGGTTCCAGGAACCAAAGAGATTAATTTACATGTTATATCTCTTTGTAGAGACATGTTTACGAGTGCTATGATGCAAAGGAATGCGGCAGGCGCTTCCAGCAATGCGAGCGGCACGTTTATGGCGATTACAGCAACAGGAGAACAACACCTGCAAGGTACACCTGTGATGGTTGTTAGAATTAGAAAATACTGATTTTTTCCTGAGCCCTTGTCATGTTGGGACCCTAAATTTGGGACTTTATGTAGGGTGAAGGAGCACAGCGAAGACTAAGCTGTTTTCAATCTAAGTGTTAATAGAAAAGATTATGATGACATAGGATGGAGTTGGGAATGTTTTTCACAGGTTTATAGATGGCTTTTAAAAAAGCCATTTTAATTTAACCCTACGAAGAACTGTTACCAATCTCCTCCTCTTGTAGCTCCACCCACTTCTGCCCCGCTCTTGTCCACTCTCTGCCGCGGTCATTACTCTGATCTCCCAATGCCTCTCCCTGAGCGCCAGAACAACGTTTTAAGGTCTGGTTATCTTCCTGCAGAAGTTATTCGCAGTGAGCTTGTTGCAGATATTTTTGATTTATGCCCAATATT